GGGGGGGGAGGGCTGGCTCACTTTGGGTAGACCGACTGAAAATGTTTAACGTTTAAAATTCTGAAATGCTAACTGGCTTCAGGGGATGGAAAACGAAGAGACTGGGCCACACATTCCTGGCCCTGAAGGCCTCTGGACAGGACAGCGACAGGGAGGATGCCATTTGCCCGGCCCCCCAGGACAAGCTGTGGGGCTCACTTACCAGGGCGCCAGCTCCTGTAGGGCCGGGGCTTTTAAGATCTCTCCCCTCCGGACTTTGGTGAGTCTCCTCTGACCCCCGGGTCACAAGGATTCGGAAGTGCTGCTGCCCGGCATTTTGATCTTGCTGGATCTTAAACATACAGCCTTGGCCCTGGGACGTCCTCTCCACACAATTAGCCGCGCGGCTCTCGGGTCCCCGGCTGCTGCAGGCCGGCCCCTCAGAGGGGCTCTGCCCTTCGGTCGGGCTTAGCCGCTCCATTCTGGGCTGGGTGGGATATGAGGTGCTCCTCTCCAGCCGAATGCGGGGGTACCTCACCAACCGATCACCCTTGGTGCCAGTGAACCCAAAGTTATAGTCACCCCCGGGACCCTGGAGGCCTGGTGGGGGCTGCTGCAACTGGAAGATGAAGCACCGCTTCCCGGAGCTCCCAGAAGCATCCGGAACGTGCTGCAGGGACCAGCGCCGTGGCTCAGCAGACTCTGACCCCAAAGGCATCAGCCTCACGTGGTGTGTGTCCACGCTGGATGCCCGGTGCTGGATCCTGACTCCGCTGATGTTCAGGCCTGGGGGGCTTTCGCGGCCAGCCATGCCCACGGTGGATGGGACCTCAGTGTCCTCCGGGGTGGTCTCGACAGGCGCGGCACAGAACGCCCAGCGGCCACAAGGGCTGGTCCCATTGGCCTGGTGTCCTAAGGCCCGGGGTACTCGGGGAGGAGAGCTCTCGGGGCTGTCCCTCTCCGAGGTGTCCTGGGAGCTGCTCAGGGACGAGGACCTTCGCATGGGGCCAGCGCCGTCCTCCCGGAGGCCCGGGCACACGCAAGGCAGCGCGTCAGCCAGCCCATCGGGAGGTGTGCAGTCATCGGCGAGGCCGTCCTGGGCCTTGCGCTGCAGGGAGATCTGCACCGACGAGCTGCGGGTAGGGCGCGCCTCCAGGCTGTTGAGGAGCTGCGGGATGAACATGGACGTGCTCCGCTTGAGGGAGCCCACGCCGCCCGGCTGGCCACCACCACCTCTGCCACTGCCGCCGCCGCCGCCACCACACTCGCTGCCACCATTTTGAGCACACGGGTGCGGGCCGCTGCGCCGGGGCAGCGTGTGGAAGGCCATGCAGAAGTCGTCCTCTCGCTCCCGGTCCAGGATCTCCGATTCAGGGGCCGTGTTGCTCCGACTGGAGCCAAAATGAAACCGAAGCCGATGGGCCATGGCACACAGGGGGGCCGGCAGGGAGAGGGGGGGCGGCAACAGCGGCCCCAGCACTGCCAGAAGTCAAACCCCAAAGACATCAACTCCAAGAAAAAGTGTCCCATCTGCCAAACCGTTAGCACTGCGGCAGCGGGAGCGACAGATAGCAGAAATAACCCAAGTGGCGAGCGGCATTCCAGGCATGATTGGATAAGAGCAGTGCACGCACGTCTGCGCAGGGACTGAGGGTAGGATGGCCAGGGCCACATGACCGCGCGCTTCCTCCCCCCTCTCCCCCCATGCCAGCCCGTGGGCTTAGGCTTAGCCAGCTTCCCCCCTTCTCGCTCTCAGAGCAGCTTCCTTTTTTTTTTTAAACAGCAAGAGCCCGAAGCGGCACCTTCTCAGCTGCCGCTTTCCCATCAGACAAGAGTGGCCCCCGCAGGGAGCTCTCACAGCTGACCAGGGCAGCGCAGACGCCGGGCCTCGCTGCTATAAATCGAAAGCCCGTCGTCCTACAAGCACGCCGGCCAGCGCCGCCACGCCGTCGCCCAGGCAGGCCAGGGGGTCATGCCTGCAGCCCACACAGCCTGGGGTCCCACCCTCCCTGGCCCCTTGCCCAAGTATACCATGGAAAGGGGTTTAGGTGTCCACATAACACTGTCACAGCATCGGATGTTAGGATCAGCCTGTTATTTATGACATCACCACACGATCACGACGGAATTCAAACTCATAAAGCATGCTATAAATACGATTACACACCCCACACGATGCAGGCCAAGCCCCTCCGTGCTGAAACATCAGGCTCCCACCCCTGCTACCTTCTCATCTAGAAGGCATGTGTTTATAGACTCATATTGGCAGTGGGGGGTGGTGTCAAAACGTTTGTGGAAAAGAAGGAAGTGAAAGATAATGGAGTTTTCCCAGAATTTTTTTTTAGGCCCTTGTGTATCATGAGGTGGTCAAACATAGGTGTCGCACCCAAGATAAGGAACCCAGATGGGGAGGAAAAATTGATCCCTCCCTATACGCTGGATAAGGGGAAATAAACAAACCAAGCAAACACACCAAACACCCAACCACCACTGGCAAAACAAACACACACAAAGAAAACACTGAACCAAGTTGTGCATGTGATTTCTGTATGGATGGAATGTTTACCCGCAGCACTCTGCTGCCAGCCAATGCTGTCTAGAGCTAAGGGTCCAAGTGAGAAGCTAGCAATCTCATCACAGCTAGACACACACACCTGCCAGGGACCAGAGCAGACCAGAAACAAAGGGGAAAGTGCATCCCTAGAAACCAGCCACAGGTTTGAAGTACAAAGTCTGCTGTGTGCTTTACGAGCTTGCTGTCGTCAATGGTTCAGAAACGGTTTCTTACCAGAGAGACTTATTTAGGGCAGCGGTTCTCAACCTGTGGGTGGTGACCCTTTGAGGGGCGTCAAGTGACCCTTTCACATGGGTTGCCCGATTCATAACAGTATCAAAATTACAGTTATGGAGTAGCAGTGAAAATAATGTTATGGTTTGGGGGTCAGCAAAACATAAGGAACTGTATTAAAGGGTTGAGGCATTAGGAAGGTTGAGAACCACTGATTTAGGGGGAGAAGAAATGCAGGGTGTGGGGGAGTTCCAGGCATCAAAGTGTGACAAAAAAGTTTATGCTGAAGTTCTCAAAGCATGACTGTGTCAACAGCTCTGGAGTTGAGGGGGTGGGGTAGGGCAGAGGGTTAACCCTCTGTTTATATACACCGACACCCTCTTTCTAAAGGCTGGTGTGTCCAGTACCCCGGCTGACCAGCGAGAGGGAAATGGATGCTAGTTTGTTTAGTTGTTAAAACAACTAGTCTAGTTCCAGCGAGTCACATATTGTCTTAGCTGGATTAAGAATCCCACACCCTGGTTTCACAAGAGCCAGACTGCAGATGTCTTGGGGCAAAGCTAGGCGTGATCCTGGAGAACACCGTTTCAGAGAAAGCTTTCATTTACACAGGATTTCTCAAGCGCTCTGTACACAAACTGGAAGTCAAGTTGGGGGCTCCGGGCGGGGTAAAGCCTTCAACAAAAGTTGTCATTTAGGTAGCAGAAATGGGAAAATCCGTGTGTGTGTGTGTGTGTGTGTGTGTGTGTGTGTGTGTGTCCCCGTGTGTTCTCATAAGGAAAAATAATCAAATCGATTATTAAAACATCTCGCAAGAAAAGAAAACATCTGACGAGGCAATTCCTTCCTGTCTGATTGTACCTGGTCTGGAAGGAGTTCCCGTGCTCAAAGGGGAAGAATGAGTCTGTGGGTGCTTCTGGGGGGGTGCTTGTTACAACACTGGCTGCTGTCAAATTGACACAGTGTTCTTCAGGGTGAGAGAAGTATGCTAGAGAGTTTTTAAAAAGCAAGCCTCTACAGTTTCTTACTCAATATACGCAGAAAGCAACTTCGTGCATGGAAAGGCAACTGCTGTTCACTGCGATCTAGTAAATAAATAGTGTCCAAGGAACAATGTTGCACTCAAGGCAAAGGCTGCGGATCCACATACTTCCCCAGCCAAGGTGTCAGAATGGCAAGCTGGGGCGTGCTGGCTTTCTAACGTGGAGAAGAATGTAAAGCTTAGAGTGAGAGTGGCGCAGACGGCCAAGTTCTCGAGTAAACCGAAAAAACTCGAGCTATTCAACACTGAGAGGTTCCCATTGGCATCTGCAGGGGGTGGTGATAAGAAACACCCCCTTAACCAAACAGCTGAGCTACGTGCCTGGAAAGGTAAATTTGAGTATAACAGATTGAACAAAGTTATCCTGTCACTTTGGAGATTAATTTAAAGGCTTGGAAGTAACACGATCGTGTTTCTTTTTGTAATAAAGACACACAGCTCAGAAGTACTGAATGTAGACACTCCACTGGAAAATGAAATGCCCTAGGCCAGATTCACTTCTGAAACCACGTTTTAAAAAGAAAAGGTCGGTTATGTTAAATATGCGTTTATGTACCAAAGTAAAAAACTACCGCTACAAAATCACTTAAACCAGTGGTTCTCAACCTTTCTAAGGCTGCAACCCTTTAATACAGTTCCTCATGTTGTGGTGATCTCCCCAACCATAAAATTATTTTTGTTGCTACTTCATCACTGTCATTTTGCTACTGTGATGAATCGGGTGAACCCTGTGAAAAGGTCATTCGACCCCCAAAGGGGTCACGACCCACAGGTTGAGAACCGCTGACTTAAACCATTAAACAAAGTCTCAAAACGTATGTAGCTGAACGTGACCTAGCCTCCCAACTAGGTCTGTATTCAGTACTCTCCTATTTACGCCACTTTGCATCCTTTATTGACCCAGAGTGTGCTCCTTTTCAATGCTAGGAGTTTGGGGAATTCAAAATGTCTGAAAGGCAAGATGAAGCCCGAGCTACTCTTGGAGAAGGAGCAGGTGCAAGGTCGTGATGGAAAAAACAATTCTTGGGGCACCTTTCCTGGCCCTGTTCACACCAACGGTGTTTTCAATTTTTTGAAAACTTCATTAGAAGTCCCTGTGGGACTTGGAGAAAAATCTATCAAGATCAGCCCTTCAGCACAGGGGGGGAGAGAGCAAACAGAGAGCTGACCTCTGTTCCCGCAGATCCTTCTAGAAGCCACGGAAGACACCCATCCACTGACTACGGACACGTTTGTACCTGTCTCACGTGGAATAGACCGGTGTGTATATGAACTGAAGCCCAGTAAGTAGCAAGACTTTCTGAGCTGCCCCCTTGGAGTCAGACCGGACGTTAGCTGGGAGCAGTCCTCTAACTGTGGCACATCTCGAGTTCTTTAGCGGCGCTTTCTAAGACTCTCCTCCCTTGAGGAACTACTGCTTTTTAAAACACAGCTTAATTCTACCTGCTAAATATAGATTCACTTTTTGCTGCCTACTGTTAATTAGATTTCTGTTTCCCCAGAGAGAACTGCTGTGGATCCGGTCTGGATCCAGGTACGGTCTTGCAGCCTAGCTTATATTTTCAAACCTGCAAGATGTGTTTACAAGGACCGAGGGCCTCTTTACAGATCAGCCTACTGTTCTGTATTCCCAACATCAAAGCGTGACCGTACGGCCTAATACTATCGCTGGTGACCTCCATCAACATTTACTGAGACACACACACACAGGGTCTCTGTCCTAGCAACACAAGAAATATTTGTTAGAATTATGAACGTTAAGCTAACAGTGAGACATACAGGCGGATCCTCCTTGGGCAGATACACTATCAGAAGTAAACGAGAATTTTAAAGAGGTGCTAGAAAATCAATTACTTTTTTTAAATGAGGCTAGCTTAAAAAAACAACAACACACAAACAAAAAACTTTTGTCTACTTACCAATCTGTTTTCATCAAATACTTCAAAAAGGAGCCTGTGATTAGATGGGTTTACCTACAAAGGACATAGACAATATTTCAAATGAACAGAGTCATTCAAAGGGTGGAATAAGGGGCAAGAAAGCAGAACAGTGTTTTCTAAGGCAGCCACCTCACTTGTCCAGTGTGAACGTGTTGTCTGCCCTTCTGGAAGTCTACCTCTAAAAACACGAACTGCTCAGGTAAGCACATCCAAAGGAAAGACTCATAGCTGCCTTTTCTGACATAAGTTCCTGAATCTCC